GTAGTGTACCAGATCTCTGTATTTGGCCCTTCAAAAAGTGTGGGTGATTCTGCACAAAGCCTTCACCACTATAATCAAATCATGTGCTGGTGTCTGGGCGGTCGGTTCCTAGAAACTGAGCTACTTGAGCCTCATATGACGAATATGACAGGAGAGTCCACTATATATGAAATACAATCCCTAATCAACTCTCCAACCATCTATACATTTGATGTGTAACTGGTAATATGAACAAGTGACATCAAAACTAGATAAAGGACAGTCTGTCCATTCATTGCCAATGACAAACCAGAACTGCCTAACTTGATCTAAAGTAAAACTGCGAATAGCGACAAGCAACTGGAAAGATTCAATTTCCAGCTTATTATCACTTGACCTCCAAAAGCCCTCATCCACTTTCTTTGTTCACCTTCAGTCAAATGGATGCTACTTAGAAAAAACACTAATAACCCAACTGCTGGCTATAAAACAAAAACACTAGAGTATTTGTCTATATTTCTGAGATGAGGTATTAAGTACACTATTTACATTATTCAGACTATTGTCCTCATCTTTGTCACCATATTTATTATAACTTTTCGGACATTCAATATCTGTCTATTTCTGAGATGAGGTATTATGTACACTATTTACATTATTCAGGCTATTGTCCTCATCTTTGTCATCATATTTATTGAACTCACACTCTTGAGTTCTGTCACTGGAAAAGAGTGTGAGTTCAATACCTGGTTAAGGCAGTGGAGGTCTTGGAGAGAGAAATTAACAGGAGATAACTGATAACTGACATCCATTAAACATGGCACGTGGAACTAGAACAGTTTATCCTAGTTAGCGAAATAAAGGGTTCAGTTTGAGATTCTGTTGTAATAGATATGGCAACAAAGATTCGGACAATAGTTCTCAGAAATATAGACTGATACTGAAATCTTAACTTCACCACTTAAAACTCCATAGAGGGTTCAGTTCGACATTCCAACCACCTGAAGAACACTGGAGTATTCAGTGGCTGAAAGTCTGAATAATGTAAAATACAAATATGGCAGAAAAGATGGGAATGGCCAATACAAATATGGCGGCAAAAAATAGTCTGAATAATGTAAATAGTGTACATAATACCTCATCTCAGAAATATAGACAGATACTGAAAGGCCGAAACGTTGTAACAAATATGGCGGCAAAGATGTGGACAATAGTCCGAATAATATAAATAGGTAAAAACTCTAGAGATCAAGACAAGATCGCACTTTCTTCTTCCATGTGGGTTTCCCAACCTTAGTGTGACACCAGTTATTATTGGATTTTTTTTTATTTAAAATATCAATATGTTTATTGCACGGTTTCAACTTGCAGTAGACAGTAAACTCACATTATTTTTATTTAATTTTTTTTTTTTTTTTTAAAGACTTTCAGCTGTATGCACTTTTTTCAGCTGATACATCCCTGCAAGTGGCCAGGCTGCTGGGCGACGGGTGCTTTAAATAAAGACAGTCTCTGCAGATGGCCGACCAAGATTACTAGAGTGGATCTGTGATTACATCCTAGCACAACTATTAACAGATTCCCAACAGTTTTGTCTACTCACATGGTCCGAGTCAACTCATTGTGTGGTTTTCAGGCAATCTCCACCACTACAAAGCTTCAAATCGGTCCTCTATTTTAGTTACTTTATTTACCTTATGTGGGAGAGGGGAAGGGATTTTAAAGATTTCTTAACCTTTTCAAGTCTAGAGTCAACGGTTATCTTTCCAATATGTTCTCATAATCTGCACGTCTTCCCTCCTTTTACACCCTCACAATAAACCCATTGAGTAGCTCGAGTGGCTCTTGAGCCTTGTACTAATAAAAGTTTAATAATGAAAGATTTAGCCAAAGGAAACACTCACACTTTAAGAGGTTTTCTGTTGATTAATTTTATTCATTGACTTGGAAGTTACAAATAATCCTTCTCAGAAAGGATATTCGGTCAGAAATTGTCCAAAGTTCATTTTGGTAGAAACATGGTCTGAGCTTTCCACATTAAATCATCATTAGGCTGCTGAGTGTAGTGACGTAGGCAAGGTGTGAAATGTGCATGTGTTTTTAAATTATATTTTATTTATTGATTTTTATATTTTATATATATATATATATATATATATTTATTGTCAGCAGTCAATATACCACATAACACCTTTGAGCACTTAGCCTTGGAGCGGGTAGAATGGAGATCAACATGTTTTAGTGGACTCAGCAATTTTCAATCTGCTTGTCTGAATCATCTCCAAGAAGCGAGAGCAAGATCTAAAAGGTCAGCCAATCTAACAGTGATCTCATCTCACAATCCTCACACTTGCTCCATATGTGGCCTCCTTTGTAAATCACTAGCGGGTCATAAATGCCACTTAAGATTATCGCACAAAATTTCATAACTGAATCAATAAGCTGTCAGATCCTCATACGTTGAAACCAATGGGAGAGTCCATTATTATTATTATATATATATATATATATATATATATATAAAAAGGGAGAGTGTGAAAATGAACAAAAACAAAACAAGAGAGTAATTAATATGTTCAAATGTCTTATCTTCTAACAAAGTTTTACACAGATATTGTCCTGCTCATCTGTGTAGGATAAACTACAGTTGATCTATTTTATTTACAAAAATCTGCTCACCTCTAACAATTTACTGGACAACATGTTTTGTTAGACGTAAACAATCTTTCTTATACAGTCATCAACTGCATAATGATGTATTTTGCAACAGAACTGATAAATGGACAGGCATAGAGAATGTGTTTTGAATTTTGAGCATACAAATAGAGAGGGTAAGTAAAAAAGCTAAACAAAAATGAAAAGAAAAGCAAGTAAAACAAAAGTGAAAGGAAGCCAGCAACGAAAGGCATCAACAGATTTTTTCCTGACCAGAGTTTTGTTAAATTTTCTCTATTTGAGATTAACAAGTGAGAGATGATTTTACAAGTTTTTTTTTTTTTTTTTTTTTTTTTAAGTGTAACACGCACCTATATAACTAGGAAGCTCGGTGAACAATAGTACAGAGTCCATGTCTTTTAGAATCATTTATTTTGTAGAAAAAGGAATTGTCTTCTATTTCTCTGCATTCTGCAGCTGTTAGTCACCACAATTGGTATGGAGTAGGGAACTGAACTATTTCAGTGAGGTGGAGGACATTTTGTCCAGCCACCGCAGTCGACTTCAAATACTAAATTTAGATTTTACAGTTGTGTTGTCACATCCTGCTACAGCAACAACAAAAAACAGTCTTGACTTAAAAATCCAGATCAAGGCTACTGCTGTGTGCATTTGAGGCGCCACCATACATGGAAGGAGAAATAACCCTTATGAATAATAATGTAAAGCTTAAACTAAAATATATATATATATATATATATATATATATATATATATATATATATATATATATATATAATAAATAAATGTATGTAGAGTGCTAACAGTTAAGTGTCTCTGTTTTAATCAATAGAAGGGATTTGGTCTCAATAATACTAGCCTTTAAGCATTTAGAGTGCTTTAAAGTGCAAATTAAATTTTATATATATAGTGTGCAGCAGAAATACTAACCCCATAATGGTAATACATTAGCTAGATGAAGACACCATTAACACCAATGTCTTACATAGCATGTAGGAGGTATTTCTGTCACACCGTGTGTGCACACAATATGTATGCATGTGTGCATTGATTTACTAACAGATTTGGCACAAGGCTGCAAGTGTGAGGCACCTAGTGAGTATCAAACTTACTACTTGTTCATAATACAGCCGAAATATCTCCCATATAATGGTAAGACATTAGGTAGATGAAGATACCATTGCCACTAAGGTCTTACCATTATGTGGGAGGTATTTCTGCCACATCCAGTACACAAAAAAATTAATTTGAACAAGTAAGATGAAAGAAATTCAAGATTAATCCTGAAGATGTTTAAAATTCTAAGTGTTTCTTTCATTTTTTTTTTTTTTTTCCAAAACAAGGTTTCTTCCAGATAGGCAATCATATTTATCTTCATCTGTGAATTGTCAGGACTTCTTGGGGAAAGATAGGAAAATGGTCTTCCCTCATTGACCGATTAGTTTGTTTAACATCTTACCGGTCTTAATGCTAAAATTAAATTTTCTTGGTAGCTTTGAAGTAATAAAAATATCATGTGTTATTCTGCTTTTACAATTGAATACATGGTAGATGAGATATATATATATATCTATATATATTTTTGTGTGGACATGATTACTGGAGGCAGTGCTGTGTGTACTTTATGTTGTAGGTTTGTTGAAGTCATATTTTGGCATACAGTTTGATTTCTTTAAGAAATTGGAGGATGGATTAATGTCATAAAAGTGTTTTTTCATGTTGATTGGATGATTTTGTTTAGTAGCTGATCTACATCAAGGAGCTATTTCATGCCTAAATATTTTGCATCCAATTTTATGGCTCCAACTGCACACATTTCGTACATAATTTTATACTTCCTGGGGAAACCTAGGTTTTATTTACATATATAGTTTACAGATGATAAAATGTATTGTTGGTAACTTTACAATAAAAACCTATTGCAGGGCATTTTATTGTCAAAACTTATTGCAGGGCATTTTATTGTCAAAACCCATTGTTGATTCCCCCCACCTTATTGTCTTCACTTAGACAAGAGCTAGGGGAGAGAACAAATTCGTGTCATTCACCAGTATGGTTGAGGAAAAATTAACACAAATTCACCATTTGCACTTAGCATACAAATCCCATTTTCAGTGTCAATGATTGCTACATGCACATCCAAGTGATGATACATATTTAGTGAAGTCATTTGCAAAATAATCTTAAGCTGACCTGAATATTTATGACAGGCCAAATTTAAAAAAAAAAGTTATAAAATTTACTAGTTTTACCAAGAGAACTCATTTAAAAAGATATTTGTTTTAATTTAACCGTATGAAGACGTCAGGATTTTTTTTCTTCAATAATTCGAAATATTGACTTACGGTCAAAAGAGAATTTTGGATGGTGTTGGTGGTGGCTTTTAGATGATTATTGAATTTTGTCATTCCTCGATTGGTTTCTTCATTTCCATAGAAACCAACTGCAAGTGAACCTCTGAAAAAAAAAAAAAGAAAGAAAGAAAAAAAAGTTTAAATTTAAAAAAAAAAAAAAATAGCAATTTTTTTTATTAAAAAAGAGAAACAAAAAAAAGAAAAGAGAAACAAAAAAGAAAAGAGAAACAAAAAAAAGAAAAGAGAAACAAAAAAAGAAAAAGAAACAAAAAAGAAAAAGAAACAAAAAAGAAAAAGAAACAAAAAAGAAAAAAGAAAAAAAAAAAAAAGAAAAAGAAACAAAAAAGAAAAAGAAAAAAAAAAAAGAAAAGAGAAACAAAAAAAAGAAACGAGAAACAAAAAAAAGAAACAACAACAACAAGAAACAACAACAACAAGAAACAACAACAACAAGAAACAACAACAACAAGAAACAACAACAAAAAGAAACAACAACAAAAAGAAACAAAAAAAAAAACAACAACAACAAAAAGAAACAAAAAAAAAAGAAACAACAACCAAAAAAAAGAAACAAAAAAAATCACAATCCCATAAGTTATGAAATGCATGACACAAAAATTTTTCCTATTTACATAATTTCGACTATTGTCCTCATCTTTGTCACCATATTTATCACAACCTTTCGGCTATTGTATGCTCCTGCCTTCTTCAGGTGGTCCGAATGTCGAACTGAACCCTTTATTTCCCTCACTGGGGTAGACTGTTCTAGTTCCATGTGCCATGTCTAATGGATGTCAGTTATGTCCTGTTAATTCCCCTCTGAAAGTTCTCCACCACCTTAACCAGGTATTGAACTCGCACTCTTTGGGTCCTATCACTGGATCTAACTAACACCTTTATCCTGAGGGGAATTAACAGTAGATAACTGACATCCATTAGACCAGGCACGTGCAACAGTCTACCACAGTGAGCGAAATAAAGGGTTCAGTTCGACATTCCAACCACCTGAAAAAGGCCGGAGCATACAACGTCTGAAACATTGTAATAAATATGGCGACAAAGATGAGGACAATAGTCCAAATAATGTAAATAGTGTACATAATACCTCATCTCAGAAATATAGACAGATACAAAAAGTTTTTGTTTCAATTTAATCAGATTACTAAAGTAGCCATTCTTTTATATTATTCTACAGAAATAAAGGTCTAGATCATGGTTTTCTGATGAATACAATGAAAATCATGTTGAAAACTGATAAATGATGACAAAAGGTAGCAATGAAAAACCACTTCACTAACATTTGCAAGAACAATCATGACAATGCACAGCATATATTAAAGTAAATAGGAAGCTGTGGAGTCATGTATATTCCAAAGAGACATGGTAGATATTGAGACAGCATATTCAAATTGAGATAGAAAGCTTGTGTTGTGCCAATCTCACACTAGCCTCACCCAATAGAGTCCCTTGAATTATTTTCATCTCAATTATGGAATTATATTAATGTTGTTTGTACTTAAAGATTAAAATAAATCTAACCTTCCTGATAAAAATTAAGGGCTTAGGTCTAGATATTCTGGTTTGCAGTAAGGTACCAAAATACTACTAGAGATTAAATTTTGCATTTAACCTGTTAAGATTTCATTTTGGTAAGGTTTTCAGTGCCAAAAATAGTTTCAGTACCTTTAAGAATATGGGAATAGTGGTCTAGATCATGATTTTCTGATAAATACAAGCAAACTTATGCTGAAAACTGCTATTTGATGCCCAGTATATCATGTTAAAAGTGGGTAATGATCAATTTGATGTATGAAGAGAAAACTTTAAATATCTTCCCAGGAATAATTTTCTTAGATTCAGCAGATATAAAATTGTTTTAATATTTGGGAACACACACTAAAAAAAAAAATGTTTTGGGCACTTTTTCTTAACATTATTCAAAGTTGTGGCAGAGCCTCAAAATCTATATGCTATAGGTAATTTTCCTTTTTAGAAAGTGTCACGTTAAACCTGTCTGTCACTTACAGCATTCCTTTAACAAGATTCCAATAACTTTCCAAGCTAAAAGAAGCAAAAAGTGGCAAAAGAAAAAAAAGTAACCATTCAAATTTGATCGTCTAAAAATAAACGCTTAAACATGTGCAAGTTTTGATTAATTTCAAACAATCATAACTTGACAAACACTTGGAGCGAGGACAAAGTTAGATCAGTTCCGACATTCTGAGACTGTCTACTTTCAGACTAGATATAGCACATATCACTTGGGAAATTTTCCAAAAATACCAAATGTCCACTTGCAAGCACAAAAAAAAAAAAAAAAAAAAAAAAAAAAAAAAAACTGATTTAGAGATGTTAGATTAAATGAAATATCAACACTGAGTACAAGTAACAGCAGTAGAACCAAGAACAGGACAGCAAACTAACATCTGATCTACTATCCATTATAAAGGAAGTAGTTCTAGTCCAAAATCACTGTAATTACCCCATGTATAATACACCTTCATCCATAATACACACCCCTAAAATTGTGCTGAAAATATGGGAAACTGCTTCTACTCATGCATAATACGTCTCCCTTGTTCGGTAATCAAACCCTATAAATTGTACCTCTCCAATTTCATTACGGCCAGCATTTCCTACTCATATTCAAGCTGTAACTGATGATATTTATCAAAATTTCCTATCATCACGATTCTTAAAGGAAATGGAAATACATATATTTTGCCTGCTGCACAGACTCATTAACCTGTTTTTGTTCAATAAAATGTGCATTCTACAGGATCTGTTTGTAGTTTTTCAAAAAAACGGTTTTAAACATAGAATAATATTATTCTAATTTAGTTTTATGATAATTCTTATTTTATTTTACATTTGTAAGTATTGTTAGGTGAATATGATTGTATTTGACAATCGCCGAATGTTAGTGTCAAATTGTTGTATGCTTGTAGCGAGTAGTAATTTCACAACTGAAATGGACCTACTAACCAGCAAGTTTTTAAAGATTGTTTTGTAACTGTGTATAATACGCACCCCTAATCTTGCTTATTATTTTTAGATAAAAATGTGTATTATACATGGGGAATTATGGTATGTATTTGTTTAACTGTCTGTCTGTCTGTATGACTCATTGGTTGTAAGACAGTGATAAAATTCTTTGTTTCAGAATGCCAGGAAAAATTATTAGGTTTAATGATAAACATTAGTTTTAACAGTTTGTTTCTTATACAGACCAATGTGCTTTTCACCCTCTCCCACCAAGTAAGTACTTTCTGATTTTAACAGGATTCTTACAAGAGATGCATTTTTTCTGTGTTTATCTACAAAAGAAAGACCAGGCAATATCCAATGACACAGAAGTCTTAGGAAAAACAAAAACAAAAAAAACAAACAAGACCAACAAAAACAAAAAAAAACAAACAAGAAACAAAAAAAAAAAAACAAACAAAAAACAAAAACAAAACAAAAAAAAACAAACAAGACAACAAAAAACAAAAAAAAAACAAACAAGACCAACAAAAACAAAAAAAAACAAACAAGACCAACAAAAACAAAAAAAACAAACAAGACCAACAAAACAAAAAAACAAAAAGACCACAAAAAAACAAAAAAAAACAAACAAGACCAACAAAAAAAAAAAAAAAAAACAAAAAAAACAAACAAGACCAACAAAAACAAAAAAAAACAAAAAAAAAAAAAACAAACAAGACCAAAAAAAAAAAAAAAAAACAAAAACAAAAACAAAAAAAAACAAACAAGACCAACAAAAACAAAAAAAAACAAACAAGACCAACAAAAACAAAAAAAAACAAACAAGACCAACAAAAACAAAAAAAAACAAACAAGACCAACAAAAACAAAAAAAAACAAACAAGACCAAAAAAAAAAAAAACAAACAAGACCAACAAAAACAAAAAAAACAAACAAGACCAACAAAAAAAAAAAAAAAACAAACAAGACCACAAAAAACAAAAAAAACAAACAAGACCAACAAAAACAAAAAAAACAAACAAGACCAACAAAAACAAAAAAAACAAACAAGACCAACAAAAACAAAAAAAACAAACAAGACCAACAAAAACACCAACAAACAAGACCAACAAAAACACCAACCAACCAAAAAAAAAAAAAAAAAAAAAACACGGCCGTAAATTGTGGGATACAAGTCAGGTTTTTCAAGCTTAAAATTACATTTCCAAAACTAGGTGTTGACATATATGGCAGGTATAAAATGCAAACCTTTATCACCAAGTTGTAAACATGTGTCACATCACTCCTGACAATTACTGTACATCACTTACTATACCTTCAGCAAATTGCCGCAGATATATTCCACTAAAACTTTGTTTTGGTAAACATATTTGGCATATTAGCACAAATTAAAATAATAAAATAGTAACAAATTCAGTATTCAATTAATGCTACATCATCCATTGTATCCAACTGCTGATGCACTAGTTATATTGTGTTTTACAATAACATACGATACATAGCTGTACTATGAAAAAAAAAACTATGTGGTATGATGTATAATCTATGATATTATTATTTCATACTAGTTGAGGTTGACTTTAATGTGTTTATCATTAGATTTCATGTATTTTAAATGTTTGCTAAGTTATAGCAATACAATATACGGTACCTACCAGTGTAGGTTGTTTGCTATACAATGCATATAGAAAAGATATTACAGTTAGTGTCTCAATATACAGGTAATTGCTCTGCATTAATTAGTATACCAAATTTCTAGGAACCAGTTCCATAAAGGCAGGTAATTTTTAGTAGCCTATTTTGCTTATTTTCTTTTCAATCTGAGAATGGAATTTATGCTATCAGAAGGAATTAAACCATTTTGATAATTTAATAGAAAACATTTATCTGCTTAGTATGATATGTAATCTATGGTATTAATATTTTACAGGAATTGATGTTGACTAACCCATTACCTGCTATGAGCCTCATTTGGGGATCTTTTAAAATTGAACTCACTACATGTTATTCCTTGTATTTACATTGAATTGCTTAGTGTTGTAGAGTAGTTTCACAGTGGAGGCTTGTATTTCACTAAGTCGGTCCTAAAATAGGTTCGACGTACAAAACGTTAGGAACTTGATATAATAGGTAATGACGCAGAGAAATCTAGTGCTGGTCGCTGATACTCTTAGTACCTGACTAATGGTCGTCCGATATCGACTGACTGACCAACTCACTCAGCGACTTAGCAACTGCTACTACTCCTACTTATTATAGGTGGGAGAGTCTATTAACAATAGAATAGGTGTGTTCCACTCTAACACTTACATACATTGCATTTGCAGAGGTATATTTTACAACACTTAGCCTTTAAAGATTTTATTATTAGCTGTAAGAAAACACTTTGTCATAATTTTAAATTTCATGAACAGAAAAATAAAGACTATTTTGAAAAGTATTTATTATTTCTAATCAATATTATTTTTTGATGTTTTATACACAGATATATTTGATGTTCCAGTTTCTATAAAAATGACCATGGTAGCTACAAATAAATAAACTCCTAAGACACCTGTCTAGGCAAAAAAAGCGTATTAAAAAAAAAAAAATTTGGCAGTTAATGGTTTAATGTGTTTATCAGTCAACCTGATCAATTTTAAATGTCCACGAAGTTATACCGATACAATATATGGTACCTAGTGGGACGTGTCGAAAGTTGTTCTGTATACAACACATATAAAAAGATATTACAATTATTGTCTCAACATACAGGTAAATGGTGTGACCTTAGGTAGTTTTGACACAGTTTATCATATAAACTGTAACCTAACATAATTTGTCAGTAGGACAAAATTTTAAGCCACTGGTAGCCTACTGTATATTTGTGGAGGGAAAGGGGGATCTATTTGGTAGACATCAGCCCAACTCAGAATGTTGAGCTAAAAACCTTGAAGTTGACTTGTATGTCACAATTTACGGAAATTGAGATAAATCTAGACAAGGACAGAGGAAGATGAAGAATCTACCCCATCCCCTATATAAAGTGTTCAGTTCAAAATTCCATAAAAATTACTCGGATAATAAGATACCTAGAATAGCTGAGAGATTTATGGAGAAAACAGTAAAATTGACAACATCCCAGAAATTCAAATAAAAATTGCCTAACACGACAAAGGAAACCAACTTTTCTCACAACTTTTGCAAGACTTTTTTTTTTTGCACCTATACAAATTTGACTTGTCTCTCAAAGGGGTAGCTTGAGGGGGGTTTCTAGGGGATGGATGATTGTCAAGGGTTTAAATAGAAGTTGGTGTGCAAATGACACTGACATAAATTTTACTTAATGTACATGTATGTTGTATTCTTTGGTGCCGATAATAAAAAAAAAAAAAAAAGCACTGTCAATGATCGACAGAAACAAAAGCCTTACATCTATCCAAGTCGTTTTAAACTTATTTTGATTCATTGCTTGCTCTCTTTTTTTTTTTTTTTCATTGTTCCAAGTTGATTTTCAGATAACCATCCTTGTTTTCTTAACCCCTAATTGCAAAAGAGTTTATGATCATGAAGGTCATTTGATATGATTGCATCAAGTATGATGTCATATTGGTTGATTTAATTAGTACAGTGCGATTATTAAGGTTCAAACATATTTTAACTGTGGGGTAGGGTTGCCAGGGAACGAAGAGAAATAAAAGGGGTCTCTGGTCGAAAATGTTTGACGACCCTTCATTTAATTCTATTGAGGAAAAAATAGAAAAAAAGTGGCTCATTCTTTGGACTTATTTGCAGAAAAGAAAGAACTTCTCTACTTACACACAAAGAAAAATAAAATAGATTTGAAGTAGCCTTTAGAAGGAACCGGAAACCCAATCCTAAACAGGAGACAAGGGATAAACCTCTATTCCTATTCAAAAAACCTATCTACTCCTACTGAAGGAAGAAAATAAATAAATAACATTTCAGAGTTTAGGCGAAGACGTTAGAAGTATAGAGTTGAAGTAGACTTTAGATGGAACCAGAAATCCAATCTGAAACAGGAAACAAGGGATAAACCTCTACTCCTATTCAAAAAACCTATCTACTCCTTCTCAGGGGTCATCCAACGAGGTTCAAGTGACCCCCTAGTGATCAGTCAGTTCCAGGTATTCGATGATAGTCAAGGGGTGCGTAAATGACATTCAGCTTTTAGTATACATGTATATTGTATTTTTCTTCAGTGCCGAAAAAAAAAAAAAAAAAAGACACTGAGGTTGACAACCAACAGAATCAAAAGCCTCACATCTATCCAAGTCGCTTTGAAAATATTTTGATGAGACTTATTTGATGCTACACTGAGCATTGCTTGCTTTTTTTTTTTTCATTGTTCCAAGTTGATTTTTAGATAACAAGTCTCATTTTCTTAACCCCAAATTGCAAAAGAGTTTATGATCATGAAGGTCATTTGATAAACAAAAAGGGTCTCTGGTCGAAAAAGTTTGACGACCCTTGACCTACTCCTATTGAGGAAAAAAAAATAGAAGCCTCGTCACTGGCTCATTCTTTGGACTTATTTGCAAGAAAGGAAGAACTTCTCTACTTACGCACAAAGAAAAATAAAAATTGCCATGAAACACCGAATGCATTTGGCTTCTCTGTGCTTCTTCTTCTTCTTTTTGCAGCAAACACAGCAGATATAGAGGAACATCAACAACTGAAGAATAACTGTCCAGCCGACAAAGATTGCAGTCCAGAACAGCAAAGTCTGAAAAATAAAAAATAAAATATTGACAATAAAAATTCTTGAATCATCATTGATGGATTCGTTTTCTACAGCTTATCAACACTTTGTAGGTTTACTTAAAGCCAGGAAATATTTTTAGATTGCAAGAATATTTTTTTTCTTACTAATTAACCCATAGCTAGGGGAGAAAAGGCGGGTTCATTCTCTTAGCCACTGGACAAACCAGTAAGACATTTGATTCCCAAAGACAACAGACATAAGAATTTGACCACAAAACCAAGCAAAATTAGTATCCAAACTTCATTACTGTTTACAAAGCTTAACACTCAAAAGAATTGTCTTAAAAAAAAAAAAAAATAATACACCATACAAACAAATAATCAAAATACTAAAAACATTTGTTCTGTGTCACATATCACAATTTAACACACGGCAAACAAAACAAGTGTATAAATTTATTAATACAATTACATGAAAATAGGGACCTCCACAAAAAGCTAAGTAAGTTTTAAAATGAATTTCAAAAAATTAAAAATCATTCTTGAAGCTTTTATTTTAGTTTTAATTTCAAGCTAATAGATTAAATTTAATATTTCCAATAACCAAAATACATTGCTATATTACAAAAACTAATTTAAATTAACTGGAAAGAATTTATTTTTTTGCTAAAATGGCTGATTAGCGCCCTCCTTTTTTTTTTTTTTTTTTTTTTTTAGTCATCTTTCACCACAATGTAATTCTCTTTATTAAAAAATTTCCAAAAATAAAATATACTTTTCTGAAACTTTGAGGAATATTAGATGATTTAAAGTATAATTAATCAGATTTGAAACAAATATTTTTTTGTTTTAAGTTTAAAATATCATCACAGAAATACATTTTTTAACACAGCCATAGTTGTTTTAACATGTTGACAGCTTGATGACATATCTAATTTTGTTCTATGGAGACTATCTGTAAAACATAATTGAACAAAATGATGCAAACACCTTGATATCATTTTTAAGTACTCTGTAATCTTAAAAATTCAAGAAAATATTCTCTGTAAGGTTTTAATGAATTTTAAAAATGTTTACTTTAAATTTACTAGTTATTACTATTATTTTCTGATAACGTTATGGTCGACCGTACTTACAAAAATAGGCACATTTAGACACACACAAAAAAAAAAAAAAAAAAAAAAAAAAAAAAAAATTCTTTTTAAAATATTGGTGTTTGATGATTTGTATTAAGCTTTTCCTTTTATGATTAATATAGTTTTCACTTAATAATAATATCATCTGGACGGCTGAAATTAATACAGAATTTTAAAAGATTTAAAACTTAAGAAATTTTCCAATTAAAATTTGTAAAAAATATAACCAGTCTTGTAAAAAATTCATTATTCATCCCAAAAAATTTTTTTCTTAAGACAATAGTGTCGTAAGCAATTAAATTTTTTTTTTATTAAAATAATGGCAGTTTTATTGCATTTCATTTTTTTAACCATTCAGAAGATTTTCTATAAATGATGTTTCTCTTTGACAAAAACAAATCAATTACATATTCTCTATGGTGTCATGCTTTTAACAAAGAGGCTGAAATTTTAATTTCCATAAAGAGGCTGAAATTTTAATTTCCATAAAGAGGCTGAAATTTTAATTTCCATAAAGAGGCTGAAATTTTAATTTCCATAAAGAGGCTGAAATTTTAATTTCCATAAAGAGGCTGAAATTTTTATTTCCATAAATTTCATAAAATTAAGTTGTACAAAAAAAAAAAAAAAAAAAAAAAAATTTTTATTCATTTGAGAATTAAGTCCTCAAAATATCATTAAATCTGACAATTATTTGATTTCTGCAAGAATTTCCAAACCAATTTTTTTTTTTAATGCTAAAGACACTAAAAATCCCTATACTAATTTTTGGCCTGTCTGTTGACAAAAGGAAAACAAGATTTTTAACCAAAATTTCAAACCTGCTAGAAAGGATTAAAAAAAATTTTAATAAAATTTCAGACTTTTGTCTTTCCTCTTAATCAAAACAAACATTTTGACGGTAAAACTTTGTTTTTTTTAATGTTTGGGGCATTTTTTCATCATGGCATGCACTTTTTTTTTTTAGAAATAATGTCTCAACTCAATGACCTGCAGTATTTTCTGTTTTCTGTTTTTTCTTCACAATTTGTTTTCAACATTAACCCAATAGATTCCTCTGCTATAATTTGGAGTCAGATAATTAGTTCCATTAACTTGATTTTTCTTTCATTACTACAACAAGAAACCCCACACTTATAATAGTAGTAAAAAAAAACCCTATTAAACATCAGTGGTGACATACATGACCAATTGCCTCATCTCTTGGGAGTAAGATTTTCAAGGTAGATAGATTTAAAAAAAAGCAAAAACACTTTACAATGGAAGGAAAAAATGTTGGAGATTAAGCGACATTGCTCTTTCCTTCTAGGATTCATTATTGGCAGTCACAATCTGGATATAAAACGATTTCAGTAGATATACAAAAAATAGAAAGGGGTGTAAGACAAGGATGAGTCTTCTCACCGGACTTATTCAACTTATAAAGTGAGGGAATTCTGAGAGAATTAAAAGTCCTACCAGGATTCATTATTGGAAACCACAATCTGGATATAAAATGATTTCAGGAGATATACAAAAATAGAAAGGGGTATAAGACAAGAATGAGTCTTCTCACCGGACTTATTCAACTTATAAAGTGAGGGAATTCTGAGAGAATTAAAAGTCTTATGATGATTCATTATTGGCGGCCACAGACTTAAGGCCATAGGATATGCAGACGATACAGCGTTGAGAGCAGAAAGGAAATTACAAGAACTCCTACACATGGGAGTGAAGAAAGGCAAGGAGAAAGGACGAAAGATCATTAAACAGAATGCATGGTTGTTAGAAAAAGGGTCAGTCCAACATGCAAATTACAAATTGGAGATGCCAAAATCAAACAAATAATAAATTTTCATTGTAGACATTTTCTGTTTTAAAACATGATACATGCTTTGGTTTATGTTGGTTTGCTGAAAATATTTGCATGGCCATTTTGTTTCTTATATCTTCTCTTCTAATTCAAAATCCATTCCACAAAATATTAAGTGCAGTAATGATTTCTATGATATCAGAAAAAGCAATGCAAATACATATTTGGGAAGGAGATTAGAATAATCCAGAACATCTGACAGAAAACTGCCTGCATACGGATAGAAAATGAATTCAGTAAATATACACAAATAGAAATCTGTGTAAGACAAGGATGTGTCTTATCACCAGACTTACTCAACCTATATAATGAGGTGATCCCAAGAAAACTAGAAATCCTACCAGGATTCATTATTGGCGCCAACAATCTTAACAACATAAGACATATAGATGACAGTGTTGATAGCAGACACAGAAATGAAATTACAAGAACTCCTAAAGAAGGTAGTAAAGGAAAGAGAGAAGAAAAGACTAATGTTTCATATCTTATGTTGTTAAGATCAAGGCCACCAATAATAAATCCTGGAAGGACTTCTAATTCTCTTAGAATTGCCTTGTTGTTGAATAAGTCTGGTGAGAGGACACAACCTCGTCTTACATCCCTATACCAAAATCAAACAAGTATAACAATTTAAATATCTGAAGAGTTTAAGGAGAGAAAGTGTGACATTGAAATCCAAAGGCACATTAAGATAGTGAAAGATGCCTTCTAAAAGCTAAACCGAGTATTAAAAAACAGAAAAATTTCATTAGAAACAAAGAAAATAGCACTGAACTGTTACATAATATCAGTTCTCCTATATGGCAGTGAATACTGGACAAACGCTTCATAGAAGAGACTTGAAACAACAGGAATGCTGAGAATACCATGGATCGAGCATGTGAGCAACAACAAAGTTTAAAAGAAAATATAAACAAAAAGGAAACCTAATACAGGAGGAAACAGCAGAAATTACTGGGTCACAAAATGAAGATGGAGGGCTTGGAAAATCTGATACTCATGGGATAGATAGAAAGCAAGAGTGACAGAGGAAAACATAATTGTGGGCTTGAAGAAATGAATGGCAGAACAAGGTTTAAGTGAGATAAAAGTGAGATAACAAAAAAACAATTTATTAAGAGCAAAAAGAAACAGGAAGATGAGAGAGGGCCATGATTGCCTGTGTCTTGAACGGACATGGCATATAAAGTAGAAGAAAATCTATTTGTACTAGTGTCTTATTTTGAATAAACGGATGGCAGAACAGGGATGCACTAGAGAGGAAATTGTAAAGAGCCATGACCACCTAAGTCCTGAAGAGATATGGCACATAAAAGAATAATAAGGTAAGAGGGCTTGGAAAATCTGATACTCACAGGACAGATTGAAGGCAAGAGGGATAGAAGAAAATAACACATAACCTAATTAGTGGGCTTGAGTAAATGGATGGCAGAACAGGGTTCAGGTGAAATAGAAAAAAGACAATTTCTTAAGAACTGGAAAGGAAATTGGGGAGAGCCATGATCACCAACGTCCTGAAGGGACACGGCACATTGAAGAAGAATGAGCTTGAGTAAATGGATGGCAGAACAATGTTTAGCAGAGATAACAAAAGGACAACATTTATTAAGAGCTACAAAGGAAAGGAAATTGGGAGAGCCATGATCACCAACGTCCTGAAGGGACACAGCACATTGAAGAAGAATGAGCTTGAGTAAATGGATGGCAGAACAATGTTTAGCAGAGATAACAAAAGGACAACATTTATTAAGAGCTACAAAGGAAAGGAAATTGGGGAGAGCCATGATCACCAACGTCCTGAAGGGACACGGCACATTGAAGAAGAATGAGCTTGAGTAAATGGATGGCAGAACAATGTTTAGCAGAGATAACAAAAGGACAACATTTATTAAGAGCTACAAAGGAAAGGAAATTGGGGAGAGCCATGATCACCAACGTCCTGAAGGGGACACGGCACATTGAAGAAGAATGAGCTTGAGTAAATGGATGGCAGAACAATGTTTAGCAGAGATAACAAAAAAGGACAACATTTATTAAGAGCTACAAAGGAAAGGAAATTGGGGAGAGCCATGATCACCAACGTCCTGAAGGGACACGGCACATTGAAGAAGAATGAGCTTGAGTAAATGGATGGCAGAACAATGTTTAGCAGAGATAAAAAAAGGACAACATTTATTTAAGAGCTACAAAGAAGAAAGGTAAAATGGCAGAACAATGGGAGAGACAACATTTATTAAGATCATGATCACCAACGCCCTGAAGGACACGGCACATTGAAGAAGAATGAGCTTGAGTAAATGGATGGCAGAACAATGTTTAGCAGAGATAACAAAAGGACAACATTTATTAAGAGCTACAAAGGAAAGGAAATTGGGGAGAGCCATGATCACCAACGTCCTGAAGGGACACGGCACATTGAAGAAGAATGAGCTTGAGTAAATGGATGGCAGAACAATGTTTAGCAGAGATAACAAAAAGGACAACATTTATTAAGAGCTACAAAGGAAAAGGAAATTGGGGAGAGCCATGATCACCAACGTCCTGAAGGGACACGCACATTGAAGAAGAATGAGCTTGAGTAAATGGATGGCAGAACAATGTTTAGCAGAGATAACAAAAGGACAACATTTATTAAGAGCTACAAAGGAAAATTGGGAAATTGGGGAGAGCTTGAGTAAATGATCACCAACGTACCCTGAAGGGACACGGCACATTGAAGAAGAATGAGCTTGAGTAAATGGATGGCAGAACAATGTTTAGCAGAGATAACAAAAGGACAACATTTATTAAGAGCTACAAAGGAAAGGAAATTGGGGAGAGCCATGATCACCAACGCCCTGAAGGGACACGGCACATTGAAGAAGAATGAGCTTGAGTAAATGGATGGCAGAACAATGTTTAGCAGAGATAACAAAAGGACAACATTTATTAAGAGCTACAAAGGAAAGGAAATTGGGGAGAGCCATGATCACCAACGTCCTGAAGGGACACGGCACATTGAAGAAGAATGAGCTTGAGTAAATGGATGGCAGAACAATGTTTAGCAGAGATAACAAAAGGACAACATTTATTAAGAGCTGCTTTGTATTTATTAAATCATCTCTTATTTGAAAATCATTGCAAAGAAAGAAACAGTTAAAATTTCTAAGGTACACAGTGAGGAAGGAAGGCTTGGAAAATCTGATACTCACAAGTCAGATTGAGGGCAAGGACAGAAGAAAACACCACATAACCTACTTAGTAAATGGATATCGGAACAAGGTTTAGGAGAAATGCCAAAAAGACAACATTTATTAAGAGCTACAAAGGACAGGAAATTGTGAAGAGCCATAATCGCCAACGTCAATGAAGAAGAAGAATGAGTTTGAGTAAATGGATGGCAGAACAAGGTTTAAGAGAGATAAAAAGATAAAATTTATGAAGGGACAGGCACATAGATCTCTATCTATAAAAGGCAGGATGTGTGTGTGTGCGTGTGTGTGTGTGTGTGTGTGTGTGTGTGTGTGTGATGAATGCACGGCCGCAATTTTTGACGGATTTGCGCCAAAATTTACATGCACATGCTCCAAGTTAGTGGGAAGGCCAAGACCAACTTTGCCTTTCCCAACTCCCAATGATACGGCAGTTTTCATGTAGTTTGCGGCCAATTTGTAATGGCCCGAGTGATAGCCAATAGCTGGTTGCCACGAATAGGCAGGAAGATTCTACTGGCCAGCGTGAGAGCCAACAGCTGACTGACACAAATGTCAACTAGCATGCAAAAAAAAAAAAAAAAAAAAAAAAAAAAAATCGATAGCTGCATTAGTCACAAGTGGGAAAAATTTAAATCTGCATGGTACTTTACTCCAATTGGCTCATTTGCTTGCTTAAACTCAACGTTGATTCCGATTCCACAGAACTGGGTTGGGTGTGAAAAAGTATTTATGTTAACATTCTTTTTTTCATTCAGTTTTTCCAATTACGAGTCCTTTTTTTAAAGCTGATCGTTTTGTGTTCATTTTGTTTAGTTCTATTTTTGTAACAGATTTAATGTTTAGTATAGAGCTTAGAAAAAATTTGCAGTGTGAGATAGGCAAGAAGTAAGGCATGTAGCAACATCAGCATGGCAAAAGGCACTCCTTTAAAGGCAAGGAAGGACAAAAATATTTTAAGTCAAGTGATAGCGATTGCTGTACGAGTCGTATGATTTTTGAATCAAGCACGGGCAATGCTGCTAGTGATGAATATACAAGGAATTTATAAAGTCCATGTGAAATTTTAAATAGTAATAGTTTTTTTCTTCTTCCTTAACTGATAAACGACAGAATTAAGGGTAAAAAAGAATTTTTTTTTAATTTATTGTTTATATTGTTCATTTTCAACATGTCCACTATCATTAAATATACAAAGGGTAATACGATTCTGTAGTTTGAGAGAGAGAGAGAGAGAGAAAGAGAGAGAGAAAAAAAACAACATTTACAGCCGATTTCCAGTATTTAAAATTACACACAGACTTTATAAACACCCTGTATTGATTTTGGGAAGTGGGTCAACCAGTAATTTTTCAGCACATATGAGCCAAAATGCCAAGAATTATTTCATTTTTTTTTTTTTTTTTTTATCTCTATAGAAATAAAATTATCAAAGACATCCAAGGAGGACGAAGAAGAAGGAGTGTAGGAGGAGGAGGAGAAAGAAGAAGAGGAGGCACAAGGGGAAGAGAAAGAAGAAGAGGAGGCACAAGGGGAAGAGAAAGAAGAAGAGGAGGCACAAGGGGAAGAGAAAGAAGAAGAGGAGGCACAAGGGGAAGAGAAAGAAGAAGAGGAGGCACAAGAGGGAAGAGGAAAGAAGAAGAGGAGGCACAAGGGAAAGAAGAGAGGCACAAGGGGAAGAGAAAGAAGAAGAGGAGGCACAAAGGGGGGAAGAAGAGGAGGCACAAAGGGGAAGAAGAGGAGGCACAAGGGGAAGAGAAAGAAGAAGAGGAGGCACAAAGGGGAAGAAGAGGAGGCACAAGGGGAAGAGAAAGAAGAAGAGGAGGCACAAAGGGGAAGAAGAGGAGGCACAAGGGGAAGAGAAAGAAGAAGAGGAGGAAGAAGGGAAGAGAAAGAAGAAGAGGAGGAAAGAACAAGGGAAGAGAAAGAAGAAGAGGAGGCACAAGGGAAGAGAAAGAAGAAGAGGAGGCACAAGGGGAAGAGAAAGAAGAAGAGGAGGCACAAGGGGAAGAGAAAGAAGAAGAGGAGGCACAAGGGGAAGAGAAAGTAGAAGAGGAGGAAAGACAAGGGGAAGAGAGAAAGAAGAGGAGGCACAAGGGGAAGAGAAAGCAGAAGAGGAGGCACAAGGGGAAGAGAAAGTAGAAGAGGAGGCCAAGGGGAAGAGAAAGTAGAAGAGGAGGCACAAGGGGAAGAGAAAGACAGAAGAGGAGGCACAAGGGGAGGAGAAAAGAAGAGGAGGCACGAAGGGAGGAGAAAGAAGAAGAAGAGGCACAAGAGGAGGAGAAAGAAGAAGAGGCACAAGAGGAGGAGAAAGAAGAAGAGGCACAAGAGGAGGAGAAAGAAGAAGAGGCACAAGAGGAGGAGAAAGAAGAAGAGGCACAAGAGGAGGAGAAAGGAGTTTTTCCATTAAAATAAAAAAAATAAAAAATATGTAGCTAGTTCACATAAATAGAACAAACGATAGATGTTGCTAGCCGTAGTCAGATATAAAAGGCAATGCATATCTTAAGTTAAGCTGCGTCGTATGATGGGAAACAGAAAGACAGACTAACATAGCAAAGCAAAGAATGAAGCTGAGAGTTAAAGCAGCTACAAATGGTAAATGGGTCCTCACAGAGATTCTAAGAGAAGACAGTTTGACTCTTCTGCCTGACGACTAGGAGAGATCTACTTTTCTAGCAGCTCTGACAGCAACAGCGACAGTACGGGGGTTGGGAGTTGTGATGCAATGAAAGACAAAGGAAGTGACTGCTGCTTGCTAAGCAACAAGAGAGAGTGCAATGGTGGATGAAACATATATATATATATATATATATATATATATATATATATAGGGGTGTGTGTGTTTTTTAGACCATATTGAAAATGAAAGCAGCTTTACCACCTCACAATTCAACATTCCGAGAGCCAAAGCCATGACGTGGTGTATCCATGAATATGGATTCTCTTTGCTAGAAGGGACTTGAATGAGATTTCCAGGCACACTGACATCACCATGGGTTTTTCTTAAAACAAAGAATCATTGCTTTCCCTCATGCTCTGTTAGTTTGAACATGACAATCTCTTTAGACGTCTTTCTAATGAATTTAAAAAAGTGCAGAAAGCAATGAGAAATATGCACTTTACAACCACAATGGAGAAGGAAAGAATGCAAAACTGAGAGTATTTCTTTGAGATTCTCTGTCACACACACATTGACATTAGGTTACCTTGCATTAGGCCACAGCTACACCATGAGGTGCAGCTGCTGCAGTTTCTTTTACATGTTCTAGAATGATTGCCAACTGCATCTAGAGTGACCAGTCTGCCTTACTATTTATCCCATAGATGGGAGAGACAGATGAATACTTGCCCCCATAGGTATTTGCATGAAAATGAATATGACTACAATATGGGGACCAGTAATAAGGAGTGCCAGAGAAAAGCTATAACAAAAATTGCAATATGAGCTATGGTAAAAACATGCAATGATAACAGCAAAAATTGCAATATGAGCACTGGTAAAAAAAATGGTTGCTGAAGATATTAAGCTTATAATACCCAGAAATTAGTTCTATGCTAACAGTTTCTTCTCTCGCATTTCTTGCTTGCAGAACTCTCTTCCGGCTTCTTATTTTCCAGCTAACTTTGATTTTCAAAAATTCAAGTGCAATATCAATCATTAGCTTCTGTCTTATTCTGGTTCTTTTAGACTCCTGTCTTCTTCATTCTGGTTCTTTTAGACTCCTCTCTCCTAAATGTTTTCTTTTTCTCATTATATTCAGTAACCCTTTATGTCTTAGTGGCTTTATTGCCTTGCTTGGGTTGAAATGATTAAAAAAAATAAAAATAAAATAATAAAAATAAAATAAAAAAAAAGAAAAAGAAAGAATCTATCTACCCTTAAACTATCATGTAAATGCAATGTCAATCGTTATCTACTGTTTTAATTGTTGTTTTATTCTTCTCCCTCAATAGAGTTTTTTCCCCTCATTCTCTTACACTAGGTAATCCCTTGCGTCTTAGTGGCTTTATTGCCTTGCTTGGATCATCTTCATAAAGAAAGCCAAGGCTTCTTCCTGTTATTTTTTTAAAAAATGTATGTCTTATTAAACAAGATAAATAAAATAAAAATAAGATATTAAAATTAAACAGTTTACATGAGGCAACAACTTAAAAATGCCAAAGCACAAAGATAACGTGAATGAGAAAAACCCATACAAATCGAGGTAGAATTGACTGATAACGGAAAGCCTCATTTGTTGAATACAAACAACAAAAATGAAACAACAAAATCAACTCTGAGTAGTAGCTCAATTTACAAAGCAACCTTCTGATCTCCGAGCTCAAAAACTACAACTCACTAAATCTCGTAACTAAATCTCGTATCAAAATGTGGAAAGAAGAAATAAGAATACATATTCCGCTGTTGTTGCTTTGCTTGACAGACTTTATAGTATCAAATTGTCATGTGGGTCATGTCATCTCCAGACTGCAACTCATGCAACAAACCCCGCCCCCCTGATACAACTACAAATGAAGTAAGCAGAAGGCACAACTAATGGTTCACCGAATATTCCTTGTCTGATTAAAGCCAGTAGGGGATCAAGCAAATGAAAGAAAAAAAAAAAATAAAGTGGCAAAATAACCATGTTGAATAATGAAATGCAGCTTTTTTTTTTTCTTAAAAGAAGACATGAGCTTCAAAATTATGTATTTTTTTGTTAGAATTAAAGTTGAAATAGGAATCAGAGGCCTGTAAACTACAGAATATGTATGTGAGTATCCACCTGATGCCTCTCTGGCCGTCGAATGCCTATCCCCCCACCCGATGCCTCTCTGGCCATCATATGCCTATCCCCCCACCCAACGCCTATCCACCCAATGATTCCCTATCCAAGTGATGCAGTGGTTCCCAAGCAGTGCGACAGAAAAAGATAGCAGGTGAGGCAGAATGATTGAAAGACAAAAATTTGTATGCCAAAAATAAATGATTTTAAATTATTATAATGGATTACTTGTAATAGCAAGAATTAGTCACAGTATAAATGGTTATAAATAATTATTGACCGATTTTATCATTGTGATATTTTTGTATTATATCAAGTATTAAGAATATAGTAACGACGCTCCGCAAATTGGAGGAGAGAGTTATCAATGATAATGTTCTGACTTTAAATCCATGGTTATCCCACTTTAACATCGTTTTTTTTTTTTTTTTTATTTATTTTTAAAGATATTTTTTATCACCTAAAATTTGGAGAGACGCAAGCAAATTTTGATTCTGAAAATGCAGCCCAGAGAAAAAGGTTTGATCTGATTTAATGATCTCTCTCTACATCCAATGTCTATCTCTCTCTCATTTATTATATATATAAGTGTGGATATAAATCAAATAATTAGATATTAGCAACTGTATATGTGTGCGTTAGCGTGCATACACAAATAAGCAAATAAATATTTACTTAATTTAATACAAGATGTAAAGAAAACAGTGCTCAATGTAGATAAACAGATCTATGAAGTATATATGAATAAATATACATATTACCCAAGTCTTCAGGCACAAACTGGTGAATGAAAAACTCAGTTTTTTTTTTCTATTAAAAAAAAAAAAAAAAAAAAAAAAAAAAAAAAAAAAGAGAAAAGAAAAAAAGCAACTGAAATAAGTTTTTCATACACCAGTTCATGACTGAGGACTTGGAAAAACTATGAAACTAAGTTGCACTACCACTGTGTGTGTGTGTGTGTGTGTGTGTGTGTGTGTATACACACACACACAGAGAGGATGCAGCACATATCTCCCACATAATTGTTAGACATCAGTGGCAATGGTGTCTTCATCCAGCTAATATCTTATTTTGTGGGAGGTATTTCTGCCACAGTGCATTAAACTTATGTTCAATAGTTTACAGGTTTTAATTAAAGTATAATGCATCTTGTTTTGAAGTTTTTCAAAAATGTTGAGGACTATTTAATTGGTAGAACATTTCTTAGAAGAAAAAAAAAAGTCAGAACTAAACACAGCTCTGTAAGCAGCTTTGTGATTTTGATTAGTATGTAAGTATATTGGCGATCTGAGATTTAGAAGACTGTAGTAGGTACAAACAAATTTCAAATGCAACCAGCAGTGTGGACTGGGAGGTGAGGACTAGACGAGGAGGACGTCGAGGGGGGAGAAAGGAGGACGCGAGGGGGGAGAGAGAGGAGGACGCGAGGGGGAGAGAGAGAGGAGGAGGACGCGAGGGGGGAGAGAGGAGGAGGACGCGGGGGGGAGAGAGGAGGAGGACGCGAGGGGGAGAGGAGGAGGAGGACGGGGGGGGGAGAGAGGAGGAGGACGGGAGGGGGGAGAGAGGAGGAGGACGCGAGGGGGAGAGAGAGGAGGAGGACGCGGGGGGAGAGGAGGAGGACGACGACGACGACGACGACGACACGACACAATACCAACCTTTCAGCCATTGTGCCATGCAGACTTCATTATGTCAATCCTGGCAACCCTCTGGGAATTTCGAACTCACACCCCCCAACTTTTTTTTTTTTTTTTTTTTTTTTTTTTTTTAAATTCCACGGGAGTTGATTATTCTTGTTTCACTGCCCTTATATTGGGATATCTTACCTCAAGAATATTAAGTATTACTCAGTTACTGATCTCCCTGTTTCCACCAATTCCAAATATATGCTGAGAAATTTTTCCCATGGGAGCAAATTTGGTGCCATAGTAATTGTAAGTTCAATCCCTGGGCTGGGCAGTATGTACTTGGACTGTGGAAACAAGGCGAGCAATGATCTTACTTTGTAGATTAAATAAAAGGGTGCAGTTCAAAACTCCATGTAGGTTACTCAGATCAACACACCTGATGGGTGCACAGTCAAGGTGTCGAAAGACAAAATGATGAATTGACAAAATGTCAAACAACAACAGCGTTGAATAGACAAAGTGTGAAATGAAAAAAAAAAGAGTCAATTTGAATAAATGAAAAAGGGCCAAAAATGTGCCTACTTTCTACTCGATATGCTGCTGGCAAATTATTTTTTTTTTAAACTAATATAAAAGACTACATTAATTTACTGAAGATATTATAAACATCACTGAAAGGAACAAATGGAATTATGATGTTTAAAGCTTGAGGGAATAATTGAAGAATGAATATATATATATATATATATATATATATGTGTGTGTGCGTGTGTGAAAAGATTCAGTTCAATTTGGTAAAAAAAAAAAAAAAAAAAAAAAAATAATAGAGCATAATAAATAACTACCCGCCCACCACCAATCAGAGTGCTCACCAGTGATTATGAAGGATCAATCCCTTTTTAAAGTTATTTATAAAACGATGTCAAAGCTAAGCAATAAAGAGTTTAGAATATCTTAATTGATTATTTAAACAGAGTTTTTAAAATCATGACGATATATTCGTTTTTACA